AATATCCTCTATATTTTAATTGAGGAGACACTAAAGAGAAAATCCTATGTGTATGTCAAAAAACAATTCAAGGAACACCTCATTTAAATAAATCAATCAGAATATTTGATTTAAAACTATATGTCATGGTGGAAATCTTTACATATTCTCATTAATTTTTTAACATAAACCAATTAATACATATTTTAAAAATAAATCCAAGTAAATGTAACATTTTATACTTACCATATCATCTATTTTAAAAAAAATTTATACATTAACAAGTTTTCATTATCATATTTTTTTATATATAGATTAGTACACTATACAAATAACTTTATTTTTATGTAGACTACATATTTAATCACACTAACAAATATGGGACAATTGAAAAAATACTACTTTTAGATTGTCCATTTGCAAAAATGCCACTAGGGATTGTTCATCTGCAAAAATGTCATTAATTATGGATTTTTAAAACCTAAATCTTAAAATTCTAAAAATTAAAAAATGTTTTGACCCCTAAAAACTTATAAACCCTCAAAATTAAACCATAATACAACATAGTTAACCCAAACATAAATAATATAACAAAAAATAATTTTGAAAAAGTGGTATTTTTGCAAAGATTTTGAAAATATGGTTTTTTGGAAAAGTGACACTTCAAAAGTGGTATTTTTTAAAATTTATCAACAAATATCTATACATTTCTTATAATTTATACGAATAATGAAAAACAATTTGCATATATTTTGATTAATTTACACATAAAAATATTTAAAGTAATTGCATTAATATATTCTTGATAAAAGGTATTGAATTTTATTGTATTTATGCACAATACATATAATTTTGTACGTTTATAGATATTTTAAATTATATACTTTTTCATATATTTAAATATAAAAAATTATATATATTAAAATCTATTAGTCGATCTATTTAATTATTTAATCACGCGCTTGTCGCGGGGTCAAAATCTAGTTTATAAACATTTTAAAAATCTTTATAAACATTTTAAAAATATTTATAGGAAACGTCAAAACCCTAAATTAGTAAGAAGAACATCAAAAGTAAAACTAACTTATAAATAATAAAAACTTAGATATGTAAACCAAATCAAACGAAAAATTTTAGATTTGTAACCAAAATTGAATAAAAAACTCAGATCTACAGCATAAATCAAATGAAAAAATATTTGCAATAATAAATAATGAAATCCGGATCTAGATTTTGATCTATATGAGAGAGAGAAATTCAGATTTAGATATGTATTTTTTTTTTAATGCAATCACCATCATTTTTTCTAGTAACAGGAGCTT